AGATAGTGAGATTGTCTATATAAGTTTTTCTTATTTTTTTGTATTATAATCTAAGGTTTACTGGCTGCATGTTTTGGGTATATTATTCAGTTTATATGCAATGATGAATAAGAAAACAAGGAAATTTGCTAAGGCGAGCGAGGAAATCATGGGAGGAATGAAACCAATTATGCGCGTATTGTGACCCTCTCGTCAACAGGGATGGCAGAAAGCTTCTGCAGCTTGATGCTGATAAAGCAGATTACATTCGCTCAGGTTTAAATGTAAGTATAATTAATCAATCCATCGTGTGTGTGTGTGGTGTGTTCTATATATATTTTCGACTGTAAGAGTACCAACTGGTCTTTTGTCTTTAAAATTTCAGCCTGGATGGACGGACATGGATGTGAATCAACATGTGAGTCATATCAAATTGGTTAACTATATTCTCGAGGTAGATTATTTTTAATTAACATCTTTTTAATTGGTCCTCTTTCTTATCATGCATTAATCAAATCTTTATTATTTACACTATCCGTGAATGTTCTTTTATTAGGGCGTTCCTAGCTCAATCGTGAAGAGTTATGAGCTTTGCGCAATGACTTTGGAGTATCGGAAAGAGTGTAGTGCGGATAGTGTGCTGCAATCTTTTCCAAATTCGGTAGCAATCACTTGATTAATAACCAAGAAATTGAGTTCGATCATTCGCTCAGCGTTGAGGGGGGACCTGAAGTGGTAAGAGGATAGTCACACTTAAAAATGCACAAAATGATGTGACACTTTCTAAATCCACATTAATAAATCCAGTAATTCCCATATAATATATACGATTATTATTCAGAAGCGAATGAATTCAGAAATATTAATCACCAATTTGTCTAATTTCAATTTTTTAACCATAAGTGACATCTAATAAGGGTTTATGGCTTTTCATTTTCAATAGGAAAAATCTTATTTGATTTAAATTAATTTTCAAAATAATGATCTTAATAAATAAACAAATACATATTCTATTTTTTAATCCAAATAGGATAACAGAAAAATTATTCAAAATAATGAAACAAACAAGGGCAATATGATTCGTTCAGTTAAACTCCAGACATTTTTCAAAAGTAAAGGATTATATTTCGCAGCGAAATTAGTAGAAATTCACACCTATATCTGCTTTATGGCTTTAGCTTTATACTTCTCATGGTACCAAGTCTTTCTTTACCATGGAAGAAATAAGAATATTGATTTTTTCTGATTCAAGTTTTATTTTCTTCTAGTTCACCACCATTGAGAGTCATCAATTATTAATTGATTTTAGTATTTTTAATTAATATGTGTGCTTCGAACAACGATAATAATTCATAGATGTAAAAATATTGGTTTTTGAGACAATAAATGTGGATAGAAATGGAATATGCATTTTTACTGTGAGTTTATTTTTAAAAAAAAAAAAAAAATTATCAGTAGCTTAGAAGCGTGTCTGGAGGTTAAAATGTGTAGACTGTTGTTATTAGTTCTGAAAACCGACAACATGGATTTTTTTTTTTTTTTTTTGGGTAATTAAATGTGGTAAATTTGTTGACTGAAAAAAAAAAAATGTGCTTGGTAATTAAAATGTGGACGAATATTGTTGTTTTCTCTTTTTGGAAAATAATAAATCGGAGATGTGCAAGGGGATAAATGTTGTTAAGAAATGAGAATGTACATGGGAATTAAAATGTGTATTAATTATATTTTTGTGTTGGAAGATGTTAATTTGGTGAATTGTGTTAAGTTGCAATCTTATCTAAAAATTTAAGCTAGTACACAAGGGTTCAACATATACATTTGACTATAATATCATGTTCAGTTGTCATCTTACCTAAAAACTTAAGTTAGTAAGTGGGGATTCAACATATATTAAAGAGTTTTAAATGTGTTAAGAGCCTTTTTGGTTTGTGGTATACAAGGTTGGTTGGTATCTCAACCAAGACGATATTACATATATAAAGTAGGTTGGTATCGCAATCAGTATAATAATTGATTTGATTAATTATACTTATCTCATCATCTTCTATGATATTCAAATTAAAGTGATACTACCAAATCAAATGTCACAAAGGTATTATTCAAGTGGTGTAAGGAAAACATGATAACCAATTTTGTGGCTAATTTCATTTCAGGATTCTTATCCCTACATCCTTTGAGGTTTGCGTTTTTCTTAATGACACTTCACAAGTTTACAATAGCATCCCTCAGCTCCCCATATTTAAATAAAAAAAAAAAAAAAATTTCCTCAAACCTCCCCTCTCCACTGTTTGCTAACAGAATCTATAAGGTTTATTGCATTTTTCCTTAAGAAAAATTATAAAAAAAACCCCTATGTATATCTATATTAACAAAAGCCCCTCGGATATTTGAAATTGTTCTCAATACCCTATCAACTAAACTAAGTTGATCTCAACTCCAACACCAATTAAATACCTCATTTACCCCTATTTCCACTAAATAAAAAAAATAATAAATAAAATTTACTTTTAATTTTTTTTTTTAAAATACAATTATACTCTGGGGTTTTTTTTTTTTTTTTAAATTTTTTGGAAATATCTACATACTAAGGGGGTTTAGATTACTTTTCTTAACAGATTTTATTATATTAGGAAACGGTGGATACTGGATAGGGGAGGTTTGAGAGAATTATTGAAATATGAGGAGGGTGAGGGATTTATTTTAAACTTGTGGGGTGTCTCTAGGAAAAATGTAAACCTTAGGGTAGGTAAGGGATAATACCCTTCCATTTCATATAAAAACTCACCAATAAAAAAATATTCATTTTGGATGTTCAATAAGAAGTCCAAAGATTAATTTTACCCATAATAGAAATCGTTAAGTAATCATTCGTCTTTAGTTAGGTTCTACCCTTCCACTTATATACACCTGAAGTCAAACGTAATTAGGTAGATTAAAAATATTAAATCATATTTTATTTTCAGATGTTTCTTTACTACAAAAATAATAGTTAATATTTACCATGTTAAAGATAAATACGTCAATGAAGAAATTTAACTATTCCTTAGATAGAATTGGTACTCGATACCATCTAAGTATAGGAAGGAAGTTAATAAAGTACAAAATATAATGATTTATCATATTAATCTAATATTTATAAGATTTAATCAATTACTAGAATTGAAAGTGTGAATATTTTAATTTTAGAGAATCTTAGATTGGTCAACAACTATCAATATTTAACCTTAGATTATGTTGCTTTTAATAATTTATTAAAACAGTTGAGACTTATTTTGTTGGTGGGTATATCACGTTACAATTTAGGTAGAATGAATCATATTTAAACAAATTAAAATGTGACCATATCAATTATTTGTATCATATGGAGAAAAAAGGGGTTCTTGTTTATTTAAAAAAAAATTATTATATATTTTTTTTTTTTTTTTTTTTTTTTGAAATTTTGAAATTTGTTGCAACATAATTAACAATGTTTTATTAGTTCTCTTTATCTTCAGGGGAAAAAACAAATATATATATATATATATATATATATTATATATATATACATAATATATATTTAATATATATAATATATATATATATATATATATATATATATATTTAACAAAAAAAAAATTTCATCTTATGTTATTTTATATTTCATTTATCATGAACATAGTATAATATTATATCAATTTTTTATTTCATACTATTTATTCCAACTTTCATTGTGTCAGATAGTTTTGACTTATATCGTTTCTTTAAATATCTTAGTTAATCATATACATTGTTTTTATTTTCACTTTGCATTAATTATATTCTATTCAAGGATATTTAAATCATATAATTATCACCACTGTAAAGCAGTAATCAATATAGTTACCTTATAATACCGACGTTCGGTCAAAAAATATTTTATATTAAATTATTAATCTACTGGTACTTGGTCTGTTTATTTATAGGTTTTCTTAAATTGAAAATGTTGGGTAGTTTTAGCTAGAGACTAGGGACTATGCCATAGGATAATATTTTATTAATGATTTGGTAACAGGTGAATCTAGGGTTATTAAAATAAGGAATTTCAGCAAGCTTGGTCGTTCACATTCATACACAGCAGCTAAATTCGTATTCTCCTAACTGAGCGCTTCATTTGATCTATGACGCAGAAAAACTTTGGTCAGGAGGGATCATTTGAAGACCAAGAATTTATAAGCTTTGTCAGAATTACGCATATAATATATATTCATCTAACGCATATACTACGTACTTGCATGTAGCTCAACATTATTCTTTGTGTTGTGATTTAATATATCTGATAAAGCTTCTTTTACAATTTCTTCTAATATCGGTCATTGATTCGTGATTTAGCGGCAGGTTTCTAATTATCTCATCCACAAGATCGCCATGATTATAAAATCAACCTCACCATTCAAGGTAGCATTGCCGTTTGGTAGTGGGAAAAATAAGCTTAATTTACTCGGTAGTGTGGTCGGGAGAAGATTAAGAGATATAAAATAGCCTGCAGCTTTCAGATCAACGGTACTGGGATATCATCACTATCACACAATAGAAAGCCAAAAGAATGGACTCTGGAGAACATCAATCAACTGTCTGCACCCACCTGGAGAATTGGGAACTATTAATGGGAAAACACTGATTAATGCGAGCCATCTACTGGAAGATGTTAAAGGATGGTCTTATTTCCAGCAAAACTTCACAGTCAGATCGTATGAGATAGGAAGTGATTTCAAAATATCATTGAGTCGTTGATGAATTATTACAGGTTTTTTAATTACATTATTTATTAAGATTCGTTAATGAAATAAATTAACCTTTGATGTATTATGATATTAATTATTTCCAACTGGATTAATTTGTTTTGTGTATAGGAGACATCACTCAACCATCTCGGAGTGCAGGAATACTGACTGATGGTTTGGCTCAACACTAGAGATGAATGAAAGGACCTCCTATGGGTGGTGTTGGTCGCATACGGAGGTGGATCACTATCCTTCATGGTACGTAAGCCACTTTAGTCCTTCATGGCTTATGGGCATTTCCTAATGTAGTTAAGTATTTATTGGAATATGGCATGCATAATATATAATTAATTTCACGTATATGAACTTGATTGGTCATTAATATATCTGCTTATTTGTTTTTACTTTGAAGGGCTGATGTTGTTCAAGTAGATGTTTGGAAGTATATGTCAGGGAGGAAAGGTCTTCGTGGTGACTGGCTGATCCGAGACTTAAACACTGGCAAAACTCTGATACGGGCAACCAGGTGAACCTATTTTACTATTTATTAATATTTTTCATTTTGAAAAATACTTACATGCTATAGTTAACCGCCTCACTAAGCTGACATAATGAAACCGTCTAATAAATAAAAATACCCATTAATTGGTAATTTTTATTACAGTCTCACCGTGTTAACAAAATAAGGTACTGAGATAGTGAGACTGTCTTATATAAGTTTTTTTATTTTTTTTGTATATATAATCTAAGGTTTACTGGCTGCAGTTTTGGGTATATTATTCAGTTATATGCAATGATGAATAAGAAAACAAGGAAATTTGCTAAGGCGAGCGAGGAAATCATGGGAGGAATGAAAAACCTTATGCTGCGTTATTGTGACCCTCTCGTCAACAGGGATGGCAGAAAGCTTCTGCAGCTTGATGCTGATAAAGCAGATTACATTCGCTCAGGTTTAAGTAAGTAAATTAATCAATCCATCGTGTGTGTGTGTGTTCTATAATATTTTCGACTGTAAGAGTACCAACTGGTCTTTTGTCTTTAAAATTTCAGCCATGGATGGACGGACATGGATGTGAATCAACATGGAGTCATATCAAATTGGTTAACTATATTCTCGAGGTAGATTATTTTTAATTAACATCTTTATAATGGTTCTCTTTCTTCATCATGCATTAATCAAATTTTATTATTTAAACTATCCGTGAATGTTCTTTTATTAGGGCGTTCCTAGCTCAATCGTGAAGAGTTGAGCTTTGCGCAATGACTTTGGAGTATCGGAAAGAGTGTAGTGCGGATAGTGTGCTGCAATCTGTTTCCAAATTCGGTAGCAATCACTTGATTAATAACCAAGAAATTGAGTTCGATCATTCGCTCAGCGTTGAGGGTGGACCTGAAGTGGTAAGAGGAAGGACAAGATGGAGAAAGAGATCATAGTGTGTGCCAAGGACAAAGTTTCTGAATGCAACCATGGCACCCATCAACACAAAAATGATATAATCATCTCCATTAATAAAATAAATATGATGTCATTGAACATTTTGTGGTTTAAGTTTAATGAAATTATGATTTTTGTAAGGAAAAGGGAAATGGCAATGAAGGAAGTACGTTGAATAATTGAATAAAAGGAACTCTTTATCACCATCATGAGAAATATATTGCTATTCTTGGCTTTAGGCTTTAGGTAATATTATTCATGCTAACATTTACCGTACCAAGTCTTTCTTATCATATATGTTTCATTTCCTTTTCTTTCAACACAATATTATTGCTATACAGTAATTTGAGTCCAGAATCATGTCTCTTCCATGACAATTTTTCTAGTAAACAAGAATTTCCCTACAGTTTAATATCAAATCCGAAAAGAATTCTATCAACAAACATATCAATATAACTAACTAATTCATTTCAATCTAACCAAACACGTTTAATATACATTTCAATAATCTCAAGGAAACTAATCTTTTATTAATAGAATATTCGCAGTAATACAAACATTTATAAAAAACACGCCCAAAGTTTGGTATAAAGGTCTGATATAGAAAACAGAACTACATATCAATTTTAATTAATACTTCTAATTAAGTGGGTCATGACTTGTACTTACAGAATAAATTGTACTTAAAACAGGAAAAAATATGTGCATAATGATCGTCTCAGTACTTAATCAAGGAGCGTTATGCATTAGGATACCTTAATGGTAGTTATTTAAATGATGTTATGTACTAAAATTAATATATCATGTTGCACGCTATCAAAATAAAGAGTTAAATTAAATCATTTATTTAATTCATATAATCACTTGGTATCATCATTACATTATTCTCTTGATTGTAAAGCAAGCCACAACTCACACGCAGAAAATAACAATCCTTATATTAATTTATCTCATTCTTTTTATCACAAAAGAATTAAAAGAAAAAGGAAAAGTAAAAACAAGTTTCGAAAAGTGATACAACTCTACAAGGCAAATCTTAGTATCCAATAATTAATACCATTTAATATTCTTAACATGTATTCTTTGAAGCAATGTTTAATTAGGGGTATTCGGTTCCGAGTACCCTACACTTTTTAAGGAACCGGAACCGGAAGCGACAGTTCCTTGAAATTTGGAATCAGAACCGGAACCGACGGTTCCGGTTCCTAGGTACCCAGAACCAGTACTTGTACAACGGTTCCGGTTCTGGGTCCTGTAAAATTACATGACCTCCCAAATTTTTAAAATCGTAAAAAAAACCTTAAAAACTTACAAATACACTGGCACGTGTAACAAAAATAAAATTACAATTATAAATTATAAATTCAAAATTACAAACTCCATTACTTTTAAAGGTAGATTCTCAAAAGTCAAACCAACTTACTTTAAATGTTATGAAATCTAAATATAAATGTATTCACAATACTTTTTTCTACAAAAGCTTTTATTAACCCCCCTAATCTTTAATTTTATTTTATATTAGTCTCGGTTCTCGGTTCCTAGTTTTGGTTCTGATTCCTAACTATAGGAACCAGAACCGCACATTGACGGTTCCAAAAATTTGGAATCGGAACCTACCCATTGATGACTGGTTCTGGGTAGGAACCGGAACCAAACCCAGGGTACCGGCCGGTTTCGGTTCCAACCGGTTCTTTTGAACACCCCTAGTTTTAATAACCAATCCGTGGTGAAACCCGATAAATTTGTCAGGTCCCGATTTGATCGGTCGGTCAAACTGGGTGTACAAAATTTTGAAATTCAGCAAATAAACCCCTAAAAATTGTTAAGTCCTTGTAGGTTTAAAATTTAGCAAACACACCCCATATACAAATCGACAATTGATTGGCCGGTGGCGAAGACACATCAAATGCAATCTCAATCATCCTTTGAGTTATTCCCTAGAGAATCTACCTAAGATCTGGCCGAAATCGGTTCAGTTTCGACTAGATATCACCACCGCCGACGTTAATAACCCAAGCTAAATCTCACGATTGCCGACATCAACAACTAGATCTCACCGCCGTTGGCATCGAAAACCCTCCCCATCACTACGAATATACTCCCCTCAGCCTCTTGACAAAAACTCATCTCACCCCACTCCTATTCGCCTTGCCAATTGCCAGCAACATCCAACTGTTGCAATTGCAAGTTTTTCGATTTTCAATCAATTCACTCATCAGAAATCACCTCGGTCGCCACCATTACACTCATCAGCCCTTCCTCTTAAAAAACCCCTAACATCTCGACCTTCAACTGTTCGCCGATCATCATCCCAATTTCTAGGGTTTTCAATGAACAGGAAAATCGGTAACCCAACTAGATGAAAGCCCTAGGTCCTAGTTCAACCGATCAGGTCGGACCGAGTTTTAAAACATTGCTTTGAAGAATGGTAATAAGTCACAGCTTTATAAAAATAGATTTTTGAGAAATAAAATGTGAATGGATCGAAATGAAATGTGTATTTTTGCTACGTGCTTAATTTGAAGGAAAATAAAATTATTGATAGCTTATACCTATGTTATGTATGGGAATTAAAATGCGTAGTCTGCTGTTATGAGTTCCGATGAAAAACGATAACATGGAAAATTGTGAATCGTATTTAAAATCTGATTCATTGAGAATTTTTTGTTAATATAAAAGGTTGGATGATATGGCAATATAAGAGTGATGTCCGTTACTTTGTATGCAAGATTTTATGTAAACTCTTTGTATATAAAATGTTGCTCGTTTATGGTTTAATAATCATGATTTTTCACTCTTATTATTTATTTCTTAGTATTAAGATGAAAATTAAAAAAATTAAAAGAAAATGAAATCAATCGAATCCGTAAAAACGCCCCTTAAAACATCACAACCTTACATTGTCATGCAATTTTTTTATTTTCTTAACAAATAATATTAACACAATTTCAATATTATTTTAGTGATAAGCAAATGCAAATGTATAAATATATGTAGCAACAAATATCTTCTAAGTAAAGAATGGCAAAAGAAGTACATATAAATAAAAAATTTATCACTAACTTAGGTAAACTGATCTAACCAAATCCTATAAGAACTCCATGTTAAGAATTTCAGTAGAATTAGATCCTATTTATTAAAAAAATATAATATTAAATTTTGAAACTGTAATAAGAATGTAAGAAATTAGGCCCATTCCATTATGTTTTCGAATTACTCCATATGTTTTTAAGGATTTGAATTTGAAAAATGAGAGAAATACAGAGGGGAGGGAAAGAGCTGAACCCACTTTTTTTTATATAAAATATTATATTTAAACAAATAATTAATATAACTTTACCTCTTGTCTTTCTTTTCTTTTTCCTAAAGTAAAATTTTTTATTAAAATTAAGATTTTTAGCACAAAATTATAAACGAAAATCAATTAATGACATATTTAAGATAAGCTTTTTGAGACAAACAAAATAAGTGGGTTTCAATATATTTTATTGGGTGTATAGGTGATAAATTTGATAAGTTTCCATTTATTTTTATTTTATTTTTCAAATATACATGCTGAACGTGTTTTTATTTTTCACGTTTACAAATAATGTTTTTAGACAAATATGTTTTCAAATATACCCTTTTTCCCAAAACTTTTCCCCTAATTTCAAATTTAAAACTTATTTTTTCTTCTTTAAATTCATCCAATTGAGCGATTAGTGATTAGTTTCTCTAGAGTTTGAGTGATATATTTTCATCAAACAAACAAATATTTAAAATAAAATAAAATGTTTCAATGATAATGAAAATTTTAAATTAGGGTTTAGATAAAAAATGATTTGGTAACTTTCATTAAAGTTAAACTTTCAAACAAATTTTTTTGCACATTGAAAGAAAAATGTCAACTAGCTAGAAAGTAGAGACAAAGATGAGCAGAGATTATGGCATATGGAAGAGTTTTTAACATGCTAGGTTTCTTACGTCAACAAAATTAAGAACTTAACAAAGTAATTTTATTTCCTAAAGCAACATAATAATTAATAAGAGTAATCCACTTTTCCCACCCAAGGTCTGCCTTAATGACACTTTTCTACTCAAAAAGTTTCAAAATACCGTTTTCCCACCCACTGTTTATATTCCGTTAACACCCAAAATACACTTCATTCCCTCAGCCATGTTTAGCAAGTTACCAGGACCTAAGATAAGAAGATTTTTGTAGAGTAAAGCCCAATAAATCGAATGGTGGTGATCGATTGAATATTAGCCATCAGAATCAAACGAAAATCAGGTAAGAATAGGAAACCCTAGCTTTACAGTGGCCGATAATCGACAAAAAATCAAGTGTCAAAGTGAGAGAGATTTTATAGAGAGGAAACCGGAGATTTAAATGGTGGCGATGGAGAGAATTTTCTTCGTCGCAATCTGCCAGAATCGGTTTTGGATGGTAACGGAATATTAACTTTGGGTGAAAAAGTCGTATTTTGAAACTTTTTTTAATGGACAAGTGTCATTAAGGCAAACCTTGGGTGAGAAAAAGTTCGTTTACTCTAATTAATAATTGGGGGTGCGTTTGGTTTATTATTTTGGATAGGATTTTGGGGATAGTATTGGATAATTGAATATGGGAGTATTACAAGGTAAAATTTAAAAATTTATAAAAAAAAAAACCTCCTAAGTTTGCTAATTTAATAAATACCCCAACATGTAAAATGACAAAAATACCCCTACCACCTGCAGTGCCAGATTCCGACCACCACCGCCGGAATCTGGCCGAAAAATCGCGTTACGACACAGACCGGTTGGATATGTGTCGTAACGCGTCGTTATGGCCTTTTCCGGCCAGATCCACCACAAATCTGGCCAGAAAAGGCCAGATCTACGGCCTGCTGTGGCCGTCAACGGTCGAAAAAGGCAAAAACGACGGCCATCTTTGGCCGTCAGCGACAGCCAAAGATATGGCCGTCGTTTTCGGTCAACGATGGCCAAGATTTGGCTGTTGTTGACCGTCAACGACTGCCAGATCGGTGAATTACCGTCCAATCCCGGTTGGTAATTCACCGTTATGGCAGATTCCGGGTACCACCGATGATGGTTGCCAGAATCTGGCAAGTATGGGTCACGGGGGTGTTTTTGTTAATTTTTAAACCTTTTTTTCAGGGGGTATTTAATGAAATTAATAACCTTTTGGGGTCTAAAAGTAATTAAAAATATAGAGTAATATTTCTGGAATAATGTCCCAAACATTATTTGGAGAATAGGATTGGGAATATGGATAATAATAATAAGCCAAACATGCCCACCTTTTGACATGATCCATCCTAACGTCATACTTAGTTTATTACAAAGTACGTATTGAAGAGTAAATTACAGCCTCACATACTGATTAATACAACCTTAAATACAAATTTTTTGAATATTAATTTCTATCGGACACCATGGTTACACCTTTGGCAGCACCAGCATTCTTCACGGTGACACTGTCGTCCTTCACGGCGAATTCAATAAATAAACCAACAATATTAATGTTCAGGGGAGGCACAAACAGAAGTTTGGAGTTTAATGGAAATTATAGGCATAACTTCACTCCGGCTAGTCCTCTGCAGCTTAAAAGGCATCCCCGATTCTACCTTAACGGCAAAGAAAGACAATGTGATGATATGAATGCTGATGATGAAAGATTGTTGGAGCATGGACTTGCTTTCCAGCAAAATTTTACAATCAGATCATTCGAGATAGGAAGTGATTTCAAAATATCGATTGAAACATTGATGAATTATTTACAGGTAATTAATCTTTACATTTACTTTCTTTGGGAAGTGATTAACAATTTGTCGTCATAAGATTGTAATCTATTTTCAACCTGGCCTGGAATTTGTCCAGGACGCAGGAGTTAACCATCTGAAGAGTGCAGGAATTCTGGCTAATGGCACTCTCGGAGCAACAGCAGAGATGGATGCAAGAGACCTCATATGGGTGGTCTATGGGTTGGATATGTAGGTGGATTATATCCTTCTTGGTAATTAACCCACTAATTTACATTATGTTAATTAACGACTGTGTTAAATACAATTAACTTATAGATGTGAAAAGCAATTAACGTATAAACTTGTTTTATTTCATGAAGGGCGGATGTTGTACAAGTAGAAACTTGGATTTACAAGTCGGGGAGGAACAGTTTCTGTCGCGAATGGCGTGTTCATGATTTGAAAACGGGCGAAACTCCGATACAAGCTGCCAGGTTTAAAATCTTTAATTTGACAATAAGATAATAATTTTAGCGTCTGGCAAATATCTTTGATTTAGAGACGCAAATTGAGATTGAGTTTTTTCTTGGTTTTTGTTGCGGCAGTTTACATGTGGTGATGAATAAGAAAACAAGGAAAATTGTTAAGTTCAGTGAGGAAGTCATCAAAGATTTTAAGCCTTTTCTTTTGCAACGCGATCCTCACATCCACAAAACTAGCACAAAACTTCTGCAACTGGACACCAGCAAAGCTGATTATGTTCGCACATCTTTAACTGTGAGTATAACATCATTTTAACTTGCTGGAAGTGCAGATGCCATGTCAGTGAATGGTGATTACTGATATCGACCCTGGTAATGTTATCGGGTATGACTTATTTCCCCAAAATGTGCAGCCTGGATGGACGGACATGGACATAAATGAGCATGTGAGTCATATAAAACTGGTCAACTATGTTCTCGAGGTAAATAATTATGGCATAGTTATGTTATGATATATAAGAAATAGATCTGTTGAATGTTTCAATGTATAAGAAATGGATCTGTTGAGCATTTTTCAGAGTGTTCCCAGCGAAGTAGTGGAGAGTCACAAGATTTCAGCAATAACTTTGGATTATCGAAAGGAATGCAACAGGGATTGTTTGCTGCAATCTTTCTCCAGAGTGACTAGTAGCAATAGGATGAATGAGTTGATGGATAATGGAGAAATTGAGTTCGATCACTTGCTTTGTCTTGAGTGTGGGCAGGAAATTGTGAGGGGAAACAACAAGTGGAAGCCAAAATGTGAAGACAACTCAACATGCAGCTTGGAATTGATAGAGTGACAATGAAAAATGTGTACTGTGTAGAATCAGGACATTGCATTTTGGTGTATAAGTGTAAATTCATTAAGGAGGTGAAAGTTAAACCTATACTTTGTTGGGCCTAACATCTTTGATGATATTTTGGGCTCGATTTGTTTGGTTCTTGCATATTTTAGCCTTATATAAGTGGTAGTCACATAGATTTTGGACCTCCTTAGCCTAAGAATGGGCAACACAATTAATAATGTTGTATGAAAACAAAATTTTATCAAGTAATTTGTGATTATTGTAAATATAATATGCCTTCATTAACTAATTACTGATATAAGATGGATTATGTTTCAATTTTTTTACCTCTTGTTTTATCTTGGGGAATTGAGTTCAAACACTTGCTGTCTTGTGTGTTGGCGAGATAATGAAGGAAAGGTCCAGGAGGATTATGGAAGCCAAAATATGAAAACAACTCCAAACAAGCAAAAATATATATGCACTGTGTAGTAGATCTTCTCCGTTAGAATGATGACCCGAGCCAAAAAAATTTATTAATGTAACAGTAAATGTGTACAGGCATGGCAAAGTTTAAAATTAATGGGATTCTTATATCCAACAATTCCCGCTAAATAGATGATTACACTCACATATATAGATTAAAGATGCTTTCTGTTTTGGTAAATCAATATAACTTAATACAATACAAAGACAAGAAAAATGCATGCAAAATTGTATAATGAGACTAAAACCATCGACACTTTTTACCTCGAGTGTCTCCTCAATCATCAACTTCTGCTTTAATTTCTCTTTGTAGCTCCTCTTTATACTCTTCAAATGTTCCTGGGAATGACATCACTGTTCCGTTTTCTACAACCCAAATTTCACTTTTCTCTTCATCCTCACAAACACGTGATATGAGCCTTGAATCGTGACTGACCAGGACAACTCCACCAGAGAACTCATCTAGAGCATCGGCCAGGGCATCAATGCTCTGCATGTCCAAATGATTTGTAGGCTCATCCAACAATAATATGTGTGGCTTTGACATAGAAATCGAAGTGAAGACAACTCGCGCTTTTTGCCCTCCAGATAATTTTGCGATTGGAGTAAGATGATTATGGCTAGGGAGTCCAAATTTCCCAAGTTTAGCCCGAACAGCCTCCTGCTTGCTAAGTCCCTCTTGATCAGGATGGAGTCGAAGAAGATACTGAACTGGTGTTTCGTCCATGGTCAGTAGGTCCACAAAGTGTTGTGAGTATCTGCCAATCCTCAACTTCTGGCTCCTTCGTACTTCACCCTCAGTTGGATTCAAATCACCGGCAAGAAGATTCAGCAGTGTAGATTTTCCAGCACCATTTGGCCCCACAATAGCAACACGAGTCCCCATATCAATACCCACGTCGACATTGGAGAGCCTGAAGTCCTCACGGGTTGGATAAGAGAAGCTGACTTCTATTAGCTGCAAAAGTGGTGGTGTCAGCTCAGTAGGTTCAGGGAAGTGGAATTCGACACTGTAATCCCGCCATTTCTTTGGGGCCTCTGCCAGGGGCTCATCCTCATCAACTTTTCCCTTTGCCTTGCTCTTTGATGCTTCCTTAGCAGCAGCAGATTTAGCTCGATCTTTCACCTTCTCCTGCTGAACCCGGTTTCCTGACCTCTTAGCAGCTCTCACTTGCTTCTCATATATCTCAAACTTCTTGTTCATTTCTTTGCGGCGCTGCTCATACCCACTTTCAAAATCATCAAAATTTCCACGGTAGAAATGGAGCTTTAAATCATGGAGATGAATAATCTCAGTGCAGACAGTGTTGAGAAAATCTCGATCATGAGAAACAACCACCAAAGTTTTCTTCCAACGACACAAGTACTCTTCCAACCAGAGAACAGCCCTAAGGTCGAGGTGATTGGTGGGTTCATCCAGCAACAATAGAGTTGGCTGCACAAAAAGCGCCCTAGCCAGTGATATTCTCATCCTCCAGCCACCACTAAATGATCGGGTAGGACGGCCTTGCATTTCCTTGGTGAAACCCAACCCAGCAAGAATCTTTGATGCCTGAGCTTCAGCAGCATCTGACCCCAAGATCTGCAAGTTATCATACAGTTCAGCAAGCTTCTCTCCTACATCATCCCCATCATCATTGTCCTCATCCCCAGTGGCAGAAGTTGAATTCAGCAAAGATGCAACTTCTTCTCGGAGCTTGACCAGTTCCTCATTAGCTGAAACAACTGCTTGAAGGGCACTTCTGTCGTCGCCAACTACTTCTTGTTCAACCAAAAGCACATCAATATTTTTGGGTACTGGAATTTTCCTCCAAGCAAGAAGCTTTAATAGTGTAGACTTGCCCATTCCATTTGGTCCAACCAAACCATACCTTTTCCCATGGGATATCTTCACCGATGTGTTCTTCAAAAGTTCTTTCCCACGGGCTGACACAGAGAAATTATCAATTGTTATGTCCTTGACATTTGCGTCTGCATCCTCTTGACCATCAAGAACTGAAGCCCTGCTACCAATAACAACAGTAAAAGCATCATGATCATCCTTGAGGGCGTCCTGCTTAGCTTGCGCTACAGCATATGCAGCAAGCATGTCCTTCTTTTCTCGTTTCTTCAATTCTTTGTCAGTTACAGAGATTTCTAGCTGCTTTGTTTCATTTCTCTGTTGTCTATTGAGTTGTTTTTGGACATCAATCTTTTCTTGCTCTTCCCCTGAGGCATAATTATCATCCTCCTCATCTGAGGGAGGGAGATCAATACCGTCAGTATAAGATGGGAGCTTCGATGCGGCCTTTGACTTGGATTTACCAGAAGCATTTGAAGAGGATGATCCCTTCTTAGGTTTATCAGGTTTTTGGTCCATGCTGGCAAGCATGGCCGAAACAGAGAGTTTTTTCCCATCTTTTGAAAGTTCTTTACTGCTCGACTTGGTTTTTGTTGTTGCACCAGCCTCATCCGTTTTTTTCTTCCCCATTGAGAATAGTCTGCTGAGAATAGAAACATAACATAATTAAGTTGTATGATTATGGATAATTCATCATAATACTCAGTCAGTGTATCGTTAATAGAACGACAAAGTGTATGACCCATTGAAATAACTTTTGGCCATGCTTCCAAAATAAAACATAGATATCAAGCACCTGAAAAAAAATGCATAAACGATAATCAAGATAGCCAGATGACTTTTCATTAGAGAATAGAGTGGGTCAAAATCAATATAAATGAACAATGAAACTATCACAAATAAATCCAAGTAACCACCATTGAAAATACAGTAAGCAAAGATAGCAAAAGCCTTTATGCATCTTTAGTCTCATTAAAAGTCAATGGTCATACCAATGTAATGAAAAACTTGGCGAACTCCATAAAGGTTTATAAGTACACGAGTTAGCAACTTGAATTAACAATGTATCAAAAACTAGTTTATGGAAAAATGATCGTTCCCTTTATCTTAGGGTTGGAACCATACAGAACAGCACAACAGCTCTCAAAACACCACCCTAAAACATATGCAATAAACCACAAAAATTTAAACAAATAAATAACCTAAGTAAAACAACTTCTCATTGATTCAATCCACAATAGATTTGGGAAATTTGGTTTTCAAATAAAAAGTAACATGCTCATGAAATTGAACACAAAACATCCTTGATTCAAACAAAAGATAATGAAGCTCCAAGAAAAAAAAATGCCGCATGGATAGGGATAAAATCAAATCTGATACCAACTAATATAGTGATAAAATACCTTTATTTTGTTGATTCTAAGTATACCAAAAATAAAAGAAAGATAACAAGATTTTAGTTCAGCGAATGTAGAAAATCTAACTATTATAACTCTTTGATTCCAAAAGAATACTAGAGCTTTAATCAAAATACTTTATTGAATGAAAAAACTTTCTTCAAGATTACAAAAGACCTCAATATACAGTACTACTATCCTAAGATTATTAGGAAAATAAATAAAACTTTCTACCTTGTTGTAATAAGGAAAACATCTCCAAAAAAAAATCTAACTTAATTATCACTAGTAAAAGACAATAAGAAAATCTAGATAGGAAAGCCTACATATACAAGGAAATATTAAATCTACTTTCCTTAAGAAATCTAAATTATATGGTCTTCATCACGTACTCACCCCTCTCTTAATATTTAATTATTTACGCCTAGATTATTACAATTTCTGCATTAAGACACAAACTCATTATCAAAATATAATCCAAAGCCCGCTAAGAGCAACCTCATATATATGCCAAAAAATAAATAAATAAATATCAACAAGAGCAAAATTTAAAGGATCCACAAACCGCTACATCCTACAGCATGAACTACCAAGCTTATTATCGCAGAATGAATAGCCAGGCAACCGCCTAAAAGAGTCGTCAGTAAATTTAATTTTAATTGCAGCATAATAACTTAAATCAAACCAATCCCTAGTGTACTAAATTACCGAGTTTTATAATCAATCGAATTAAAAGTAAAATAAAAACAATTTGGGAAATCTTCTGTTTGGCATCAAAAGTAAATTAGACCTATTGAAAATTGATCAAATCCACAAACAAGCAAAACAATGAATTTAAAAACGAAAAAAAAAAATCTCGCATGTGCATGCAACCGAAAGCCGCCGATTAATAGTTGGATTGCGTAATCGATTCAATTCAAGAATGAAAATTTTATAAAAATTACATACCTGAATCTGAGCTGAGACCTAAAATTGCCAAATTTCAGCTGAAACAGCAAGAGCAGAGTCGGCCAAAATAAGCTGTCTTGGATCGAATCTAAAGATTTATACCCTAACGAGTTAGAAGGGAGAAGGATGGTGCTGGTGGGCTTACTATTGGACCTTGTTCTGCTGGACTTTTATCGTGGGTTATGTTTTGAAGGGCCTTAAAAAATTGGAGACGTGGTTAGAAATAGATAGAAGGGCTTGAACGGACCTACTTAAACCGAAAGTTACTGTATTTAGATTTAATTAAAAACAAAAAAAAAGTATATGTGACGATGAGTCTATGGATTAATTTTTATTTTTTTAATCGATAAATTAATAACTTTGATTAAATAATATTTTTGGTCAATCCTAATTTAGACCAATGTGGTCAATGGATAATTCACTAAATTAATAAGATAATACATTTTAAAAAAAAAAGATACGCATAGGTACCATTTGATATATAAATTAATAATATTCTTATACATGATGCAATTAAGAGGTCTTTATAAAATATTACTTCAATGTTACTTGTTTTCTCTTGAAATTGATATCTTCTTGTACCTCATCTCTTAGGTTGATATTATTTCCAACAGTTATTCCTTGTACCATAATAACTATACACAATAAGTATAAGCATTAAATTCAATGTTTTGTAAAAAAAAAAAAAATATCTCAATTTATACAATTAAATAATATATCAATTAATTAATAAATATTTACGGTTCAAATATATTAATTTATTGAGGTTTAACTATATCAGTAAAATAATATAGTCTTGAGCTTTGAGCTTGATTCCATCCATTTTACATAAAGCATTAAGTTTCATTAATTGAATATAAATATTTTACTTGGGGAATGATTGCATTTAAAGCTCTAAAGTAAATTTGTGCATATAAAACCCAAAATAAATTTATGAGAATGAAAGACGGCTTCATAAAACCGAATAACAAATTTGTGAAAGTTAAAAAGGGTTAATGAAACAGTAATGGGCCAAATTGTGTAAATTCACACACGTAAAGGCCTAAGCCCATTTTTGATTAATTATGTAGTGGATCATCCTCTATCCATCCATCAACGAGGGTTATCCACGTGTCATTTGATGGGTCGTTCATGTACAATAAAAACAGTGGATTCTTATGCACATCCACAGTTTTGTGTCCACAACTAAATATCCTACTAATTCAATGAAAGGACCAGAAAATTCAACAACAAAATGAGTGAAGAGACAAGTGCTATTAATTATTGCTCTACAATTGCTCCTTGTTTGGCTATGTAATGGCTCATGGATATTGGCTCCGTGATCATGTCTGGAGTAATTACAGGGATTTTCTTTCTCTTTCCCGGTTTTTATTTTCTCTATAACTACTTGTAAATGTAAACAAATATATAATATAGCAAACCGCAAGGGTAGTTGGTCTGACCGTCAAGAAGGTTTGTTTCCTTTTCTTGAGTTCTTGTGTTAAAATCTTGGGACCATCTATTACAATAATATTATAGCTTACTTAGTTTTTTAAACTTGTAAGGTGTTCAATGAACCTTAGAGATTAGTCGAGGTATGTGCAAACTAGTCTAGACATCCTGGTTACCTAAAAAAATATATATAGTATAGCAATATATAAAACTATTATTATATGGTATCTGAGCTCTAAAAACAAACAAAAACATTTATTATATGGTATCATCACAACTATGTAAAACAACCGTTCAATTTCTTTTTGAAAGGGCTATGTGTGGAACATTATTTCTACCCTATCCTATCTCTATCATACCTAAAATATATATTTATTTTCCTATTTTAAAAATATAATTCTATTTTATTTAACTATTTTAAACTCCTTAGATTTGTTAATTTAACTAAACACCCCCAACAATAAAAGTTTATAAATTGATAAAAAAAACCCCACCCACCCACATATTCCCAGCAGTCGGCCACCGGTTCCCGACATTTAATGGGTGAGTGGGGGTATTTTTGTTAATTTTAAAACTTTTATTATAGAGGATGTTTAACTAAATTAACAAATATTGTGGATTAAAAATAATCTTACCAAACTCAACTTTTTTCAAAAATACTACTCAAAATAACAAAACAAAGTAACAAACACTAATCAACAGTTGTATCATTGTACGGATCATCATCAATTAGGGCCCATCAAAACCCTCTAATTTACAGCACTCACTTCAGCTTTTTCACCCAAAAAGTTCCAAAATACTATTTTCCGACCCAAAGTTTATATTCTATCAGAGTAATACTATACGTACAAAAAAATCTTACAAAGATTTATATGCAAAGTAATGCAACAGAAAATTAATTGAATAGTAAATATGATGAGTTTGACTTTTTGTATTCACTCTTTTATTCATTTTCTGTCACATTACTTTGTATAGAAATTTTTGTAAAACTTCTTTGTACATCTAGTATTATTGATTCCGTTAATACCCAAAATACATTTCACTTTCTCAACCGACATTTGAAGAGTTACCAGGAGCCAAGGTAAGAGGGGTTTCGTAGAGTGAATGTCAGTGGATTAAACGGTGGATATTCATCACCGGAATCAACCAAAAATCAACTAAAAATAAGAAACCCTAGCTTTGTGGTGGTCAACAATCAGCGATAAATCAGGTCCCAAAGTTAGAGGAGTTTTGTAGAGAAGATACAGGAGGTTCTAATGGTGATAACAAATAGAATTTTCGCCGTCAAAATCGGCTTTGGGTGTTAAAAGAATATAAATGTGGGGTAGGAAAGTGGTATTTTGAAACTTTTTAGGTGAAAAAGTTCAAGCAAACCTTGGGTGGGAAAAAGTCTTTTACTCATTAATTTGGGACAAATTTAAAGAATTAATATAATATGATTGTGATTTTGTCAAAAATGAATCAACAATAAGTAGACTTAAAATCTTGAATCCTACGATCGTATTGGATTCAATGAGGCCCAGCAAACATTAATATTGTCCAAAAATTTTGGCCCATTATGAAAGAAATAGAACTTCCGGTAATGAAGTTACATTGACTAGATGGACGGATTATCATATAAGATGGTTCTCACAATTAGAGGCAAAAAATTTGTAAAATTTCTATATAAAAAGGATGCTAGAAGTATTCCGAAATCACTATACTGACCGAAAAGGTTGAATTTGTTAAAAATCCATACCAATCGAAAAAATGATTTGAATTTTCATGTAAAAGATTTATAGACGAGTTAACAATATTGATAATAGATCCAAATCCACTCCTTCTGGATGGAAAGGAATTCCTATAGTTCCATCAGACAAAGGAAATAAAACTAATACAAGCATAGAGAATAGCATAGTACTATCCGATTCATGGGGATAAAAAAAAGTTTTGGTAGTGCCAAAAGGAAAAATAGTAATTTTGAATTTTCCATACAAGACACACGATGATTTAATTTTATGCTTTATGGAATCATTCTCTTCTTCAAAGATTATTAAGAATTTTTTTTTTTAATAACTAGAAGTGTCAAGACCAGCAACTAATCCCTCGGGACCTTGAAACTACCAGCTGAGTAAGAGCTCTATAATAGTTACCTCCATTAGCAACTGAGGAGGAACTCGAATTCAGCACCTATTGAGTAATAAACCCAAGAGCTAATATCGAACCACTCGATCACCCAGAAAGTTAGCTTGTTTCCAACAAAGTGGTCCAATATTAACTTAAAATGGGTAATTAATCTAGCATTAATAATAGGTTATATCATTTTAGATTGAATACTATTTCAACAAATAAATATTGTTAATTAGAATCAAATCGTAAACATCACAACGTATTGGTCTCAATCTCAATAATTAAGAAAGCTGATATCGTTTTCTCTCTACAGCTCTTGAGTATATCCAATTGGTATTCACTGAGATCATGATTCCTCATCAACAGAGAAAAAAAAAAAAGGTCTAACAGAACTGGATTACACGTTTATCCCATCTCATGCCAATTATGTTACTTCTTAAATGAAACAAAACTTGAAGACTACTTTCTTTCATTTCAATCACAAATTTTCAAACTAGGGTTCTAGATGTTCTTAATTTCTAATTCAACTTCGTTTGATTAACGCCACAAATTTTCAAATAAATTATTACAAAAATCTCCATGACTTGACCTTACTAGATTTCTCTAATCCTATTCATGAAAAGACCTGAACGCTCTGACCGAGTGAGATCAATTCAAAAACCACAAGAAACGATAATATCAAAATAGGGTTGAAATTTCACGTGTCATTCACATGCATGGAGGTCACGTAAACACAAATCCGATCTGTCACCACACATTCCACTCATTTCATATCTAAATCAATGGCTCATCATGAACGAATATGCAATTGATTTGATTATCACAATTCGGTATACTGAAAATTAATGGTGATATATTGATGCTATATTTGCACCCTGCAGAGATGGCTAAGCATATCTTGATAATTAGGGTTTCGGTGTCTGGTGATGGTGAAGAGACAATGGGATCGATTCAGTGTTTTTGTTGGTGATAAATGTATCACGTGTGCCCTGATATGGTGGAGGCTGTGTCGTTAATCTCTTTCTATTGTCTAAGCTATAGGAAACATATGCCCAGTTGAGACGGAACAACTTCTTTGATTAACAGCCATTGAATTTAAAATATTAGTATATTACTCACCTGCTTCAACAATTTTTTCTTTTTTATATTGTTTATACATGTTATTTATTTATATACTTTATCCCACCATTGTAAGAAAGCGACCCTTCAAAAAATATCTATTCAAAAAATATCTAAATTTGTCAGTCATTGGTCGGGGCCAAGGGTTTTGAGGAAATTAATTGAGTAAACTCTTCTTAAATCGATCAATTTTCTTAGTAATCTCTTCTTTTAAGAACGGTCGATCAATTTTTTTTTAATTTTTTAAAGGCATTTGAGGTACTCAAATTCATATTAAAATCTATCTAATCTTCAGGATTACAAAATACCCTATTAGTCAATATAGGTTGAATACCTCATATACCTAAAAAATGAAGGATCGATGCACGTACCTTGATAGGAATGTAATGAGATCTAGGAAATG